AAGATACCCAACCTCTGTGACTTAGGTTTGGCTCTTCTGCACACAGTAGCATTGCCCAGACTACTGTTAGGTCGAGAGACTCAAAGAAGTACTACAATGACTCAACTTTCTCAGATTTCTAAACATCATAGATTTTATGTTGCTCAGTTTTTAAAGTATACTCTGTTGGGTACAGGAATCACAAGTGATGCTATAACCAGATGGGAAATGTTAATGAAGTTGACTACTCCAAGAAATTACTAACACTAACTGACATTGACTGGGCACTTACAAGGTACCAGGCAATAAACCAGCACGTCATACTGATGGCAGCAGCAGCCGCCTGGAGCAATCACTGCTATGAGGTGGGCTGCAATGGAGGAGGAGCAGCAGGTGCTGCATACTCCACGGACCTGGGAACAGGCAGGAGCCCCACCCCGTTCTGAGCTGTGGGGGCAGGAGTCTCGCCCTCCCAGGCACAGCTGCAGCCGCCCAACCATGGCTGCAGACTCAGGCATCCCTGCACTCTCAGGGACTGGGAAAGCTCCCTGCCCCCACAGCCTCAGAAGTGACTGCTTCTACTTCCTGGCATCTCCCCACTCCAGGTGCCTTGTCCAATATCTGAATAAAGTTGAGGCTGAGTCCAGGCACTGTTGTGACCTAACCAGGTGTGCACATGCTTGGGGCAGCACTAACACACCAGCCCCCTGCCGCCTCAGCCCCCTTCAAACTTTGGGCACCAACAAGCAGGAAGGGGAGGCTGGGGGGTGCTGAGAGCAGCTTGGTGCAGACCTGCAGGTGCCGCTTGGCACAAACAGCCTGAGCGCCATGGGCACCATGGATGGCAGGCTGATGGCAGCAGGAAGCAGACAGGCTTCTGGGCAGAAAGGGGTGGGTCCCCGGTAAATCCCCACCTTCAAGCCTGGAATGGCCTGAAGCCTGGAGGCTGGGCTGCCAGTTCCAGGGACTAGAGTGAGAACTTATTGTGCTTTTTCCAGGCCAGTTCATGGCCGCCCATGGACCAATCAGCACGCGCTTTCTCCCCTCTGAAGCCCATTAAAAACCTCAGACTCTGCCAGACTCAGGCAGAGGACAGGACAACCTGCCTGCAGATAGGAGCTACTCACTCCAGGTCTCCTCCCCACTGAGGGCCGCAGAGATGTCGGGATGACCTGCCTGCAGAAAGGAGCTACCCACTTTGGGTCTGCTGAGAACTGTTCTGCCACTCAATGAAGCTCCTCTATACTTTGCTAACCCTCTAGTTGTCTGCATACCTCATTCTTCCTGGATGTGGGACAAGAACTCAGGTTCCGCCAAATGGCAGGACTAAAACAGCTGTAACACGAACAGGGCTGAAACACACCCCTTGCCACTTGCCACATTGTGGGCGGTGAAGAGAGAAGAGCTGCAGCCCTTTGGGGAGCCCAGACCTAGGGGCTCCTTGAGCCAGGGCTGTGACACCCTTTTTGGGGTTCTGTGGTTCCTAGAATCTCCAAGCTTCTGGGCGCCACCTTGTTCCCCTCATCCAGGTGCAGGTGCCCACAGAGGAAGTCACATGCAGTACATCTGGTCCAGCTGCAGCCTCGCACAGCGCTGGCGCCTGTACTAGTGCCCGTGCTGGCACCTGGCGCTACTTGCCCCACTGCAGCAGCCAGCGTGCCTGGCTGTGTGCAGTGATTGGACCGGGTGCTCGCTCGCTCACACACTGCTCGCCACTCCGTGACTAACTCGCACTTGGCAGGTGTGGGATCCAGGCCAGTAGTGCGAGCTGAGTGCAGCCTGCCTGGACAAGTGGGTGGAAGGAGCCCAGCAGATACAGGCAATACTCAGGCAGAAGGTGCCACCAGCCACAGAATTTTCCGGCTGGCGAAGCAACACCCAAGAATCCCATGAAAAGTACTCCCAGTATTAGACATATCCACTGTAACCAAAGCAAAAGTGGAGGCATGAGTCCAAGTATACTTTCATTTAACTGAATTTCAACTGCCACACTTTGGGTTAAATATTTACATGCAAAATTACTATACTAACAATAATTATCTAATTTAAAAGTTCAAAAGTAACTATTAAAACTGGTCCAAAAGTTATATTCCTGCATTACTGGCGGTGGCTAAAAGTTAAACACATACATGTACATAAATCAACAGAAGGAAGGAACATATTATAAAATATCCATTGATTGGAAAATTACACAGCCATTAAAAAAGAAAGCAGATGCTTTATAAATGTGTTAATATGAAAAGATCTCGAAGACATACTGAGTGAAAAAGCGGTAAATATAAATATACACTTGTATTTAAGGAAAAAAATACATCATCATCATCATAATTTGGTTAACAAACAGACGAAACAAGTTACCTCTGGAAAGTCAAACATGGACTACTAGTGGGAGATGGAAGCTAGGGGTGATAAACTGGGACAGAAATCTTCACTTTTTGTTTTATATTTTTTCAATACTTCTTTCAAAACCACACGGACGTACTGCTTTTAAAATTATTAAATAAATTGATTTTGACTGTCCTTGAGTTGATCTGTATTTGCCAACACGGAAGGATCAGGTGAAGGGACCCTTAGTACCCCTGAACTCCTAGAACACTCCTAGCGCAGTCTCTGCCCCTCTGTCTCACTCCTTTCCCCTGGAAGAAGGAGTACCTGATCTAAGTGCTGAGAGACTGAATGAGCAGAGAGCCTAACCCCTTGAACTCCCTTTCAGATCTGCCTGCCAGTAGAGCAAGCTAAAAGTCATAATACAGGGTGTGAAGGGTCAGCAAGTGTGCTGGCTTGTGCTTACGTAGTTGTGATAGTGATTCAGGTGAAATGCTGAAAGTCCTGTGCATTCTTGCTGCACATCTAAGTTGTGTTTTCAAAAAACACTGTTACTTCAGTCTCCATCTTACACCTAATTTTCAATTGATTTTGAATCAATTTAGAGGAGAAGGTGGGGATAGTCCTAAATCTCAACAGCCCCCAAAATGCACCATTAAATGAAAAAGAAAAACACACTATAACATGTACAGTATGATATCACGGGATGCTAAATTAAAAACCACTACTATAAACATATATGCATGCATACAAATGTGAGAAAGGATCCTGCACCCTCTCATTCCCTCAGCTCTCTCCTTCGCTCACCTTCTTGTACTGCCATGCCCTTCTCTAAAGAGATACCTGCCATTTCCCCCCGGCAAGCTCTCTGGCCTGTGGAGGAGGTCAGCATGCAGCTCTGCCTTGCCCAACTCTCCAAGCATACCACAGCCTGACCTGAAGGCCTGCACAGGCTGCAGGCTATGACCTGTACAGTGCCTATGATGATATAATACCACCTATGGAGAAAGTTCTTGCAAACAGACATTTAGATAGCTCCTCCTTCCAGGTGTTGTGGAAGAGTAGCTCCACACTGGCTTGGCTGCAAAACACTTTATAGATGTAGGAGGTGGTGTCATAGAGGAAGATTATAGAGGAAATGTTGGTGCTGTACTGTTTAATTTTGGCAAAGAAAAGTCTGAAGTCAAAAAAGGTGATTGAACTGCACGTCATCTGTGAACAAATTATTTACCCAGAAATAGAAGTTCAAAGCTTTAGATGATACTGAAAGAGGTTCAGAAGGTTTGGGTTCCACTGGAAAGAATTAAAACTTATGCTAAGAATAGAAAATAAGAAATCATACCTTTTTCTTAAAAAATAAAAGAGTTTTTGCTTTGAAAAAAAAGTCTGAAAGAACCAATGTTAAACCGTGTGCTGGCAGATAGTGATAGGATTAGGAGACATAAAAGACAACTGTCACTTTTCACTCTACTTTTGTGCTATTCAAAATTCCCCAACAAGCACTGCTATGGCCTCAATGTTTTTGTCCCTCCAAAATTCACATGCTGAAATCTAATCCCCAGTCTCTTGGTATTAAGAGGTAGAGTTGGGAGGCAATTAGGTCAGAAAAGTAGAGCCCTCATAAATGGAATTAGTGGCCTTACAAAAGAGGTCTGAGGAAGGTGCTAAACTTCCAGAAAAATTATTAAAACACATTTTAAAGTGTTTGAAAATGGCCTGACCCTTCTGCCATGTTAAAATGCCTGCCCCTTCTGCCATGTTAAGATGCAGTGAGCAAGAGGCACTATCAGTGAGGAACAGACCCTCACCAGACACAGGATCTGCTGGTGCCTTCACCTTAAACTTCCCAGTCTCCAGAACCATGAACAATCAAGTTCTATTGTTTATAAACTACCCAGTTTAAGGGATTTTGTTACAGCAGCCCAGACTAAGACAAATTTCAATTCATCTATTACTATGGCCATTTTCAAACACTTTAAAATGTGTTTTAATAACTTTTGCTGGGAGTTTAGTAACTATAGATCAAATGTAAGTTTCTGAACTTTATGATTACTAACAGTTGAGAGAAGTGGTTCTCAAATTGTGGTCTCCAGACCAGCTCCATCAGCACCACATAGGAGCAAACTCTGGAGCTCCACCCCAAGTCTACAGAACCAGAAACTCTGGGGTGGAACCTAACATCTGTACTTTAAACAAGGCCTCCCCGCAGGTGATTATAATGCCAGTTAAACTCTGAGAACCACAGACTTAGAGGACACCTTACACTAATCAAGCTTCAATTTTCCGATTCCTAAATCCTCAGTAACTATAAACACATAGATACACACATTAAATCATTTTTCAGCTCAATTTCTCAAATATTTGTGGAATACCTTCCAAACTGCATTACTGTAGCACCTTTTTAGTATAAATGAAAATACTGCAGTAGAGAAAAAATAGTATCTTGAAACAACTATTCAAGAGAATCCCGAGCCTCTTTAAAGGCATTAAAAAGTGCTTCCATAAGAGATTTCCTACTGGGAAGAAGCTATAACATGGCTGCCTTCATTACTCCCTGAAAAACAACCTCAGCCAAGGAACAACTTGTTAATGGAGTACATTATGACAATACAGCACATTCATAGCTAGTATTTCTCTTTCCTAATTTTACATTAAGAAGTTATTTAAAATTAAGTAGTGTTAGCATTTACAGATACCTGTTTGGTGATCGTCTTGGCCAATGTCTTCTGTTAGGTTCTGAAAGAAATATGTTCGTTATTACCAAGAAATCACACACCATTAGCATTTTCATAAACTGATATCCTAGTATCTAGAATCTAAATTTTTATCAAATACTCTTACACAAAATGACTACTTCAAACAGTTGGTAATTTTGTCTTTAAAAGAATGACTTACCAGCTTATTAAGGGTGTGGTAGATCTTATGAATATTTGCCAGTGTTGAGAGATGAGAGTTCAGCTGAAAATCTTGAAAAGAAAAAGGAAAAATGTCAGCCTCATTTATTTCCAATATCATAAAAAAAAACTCAGAAAATAAGCAAATGTTTTGATATAATTAAATACTATCTCAATTAACTTGACACTAAATTGTTTTAAAACATGCAATTAGTGACCTACCTCCTAGAAATAGTCTGACAACAAAGTTAAATTCCCAACCAAATGTTAAAGTTTATGAAATTTTCATGTGAATTCTAAGGTAAAACAAAAAATACTTCAGTAGTTGTAAAATCCTGTCAGCAGTGAACTTGAACTTAATAGAAAGACATCAATGTTAGCATATTAAACAAATCATAAAAACAGATTAGTCTCAAATGAAATGTTCACTTTCCCCTGTCTTCTCTAGAAATACTGGTATAATTAAGTAAGCTCATGGCAAGAAAATGATAGAAAAGCATCTCAACATTAGTATTTCTTTTTTCTTTTTCTTTTTTTTTTTTTTTTCAAGACAGGATCTCACTATGTTGCCCAGGCTGAAGTGCAGTGGCGCAATCATGGTTCACTGCAGCCTCAACCTCCCAGGCTCAAGTGATCTGCCTGAGCCTGCAGGGTAGCTGGGACTACTAGTGTGCACCATCATGCACGGCTAATTTTTCTTTTTTTTTCTTGTAGAGACAAGGTCTTTCTATGTTTCCCAGGCTGGTCTTGAACTCCTGGGTTCAATTGATCCTCCCACCTCAGCCTCCCAAAATGTTGGGATTAAAGGTGTGGGCCACCACACGCATCCTCAACTTCAAGTAAAGTATGTTTGCATACATATTAGGCAATAAAAATGTAAGCTGAAAGTTTATTAATAATTTCATATGTAAGCACCACTGGAAGTATTTTCATAAAATATCAGGATTTACATTAGTTCCTTCTTTCCTATTAGTCAAGGTTAGTATGAAAATGACCATGAAAAGATATTGTAACTCTCCAAGTTATACCATTCTGATAAAAAGAAAGAAAGAAAAAAGCACCCTTTACTGAAACATTTTATTGAGGACACGTATCAGATCCAAAGAACAGACCCAAAGAGCAGGTGCTACAACATCAGGTGTCTGTGCTTGGGCTGGATCCTCTGGGCTGTTACTCTGAACCCTGAAGGCAAGCTGGCTTCCCTGTTCACAGTTAGAAAGCTTTACTTTCTCTTCTAAAGCTTGTTGGGCATCCAGTTCTGAGTAGGTCTGCAGGGCAGAGGGGTTGGCAGAAGCAGAGCCCCTAACATTCACATGCAGTGTCAGGAACAGCAGGCCATACCTATATACATACACGTGCATGTGCACTGTTCACAGTCATAGCCATCTAGAATGGTCCCAAAAACCAGCGTTTTGTGCTGAGAGACAGCCAGAGCAGGGCCTCAAGCTCTAAATGGCCCTCCAATACAGATATGCATGAATTTCTTAGCATCCGAATAGCCTAGCCATGCTTAAGGTAAATGATGATATAATGTGGCTCAGAATCTCGATTTTTCATCTAAATACAACTGCACAGAGGTTTAGAAAAGTATGTGCATTGTATACTTATTTATTTACATTTATATTTACTAAACAAGAATGGGGTAGAAGCTAGAAGCAATAACCCTCTCGCCAGCAAGAGGCATCTCAGGACCAGCAAGAGGTGTTGAGGAGCTTGAACATCCAACTCCTGCACCTCCACCTGATCTACTACCAAGCCATAGCCCCTTTTTTGTACTCTCTCAGATTAAATATAGGAAGACAAATGATACATTCCATTATCACCTTAATACATGAAGTTAAACTCTTGGGCTACCAAAAAGACAAAAAGCAAAAACAGAAAACTTTAGGCTCTGCATTCTGTTTTCACTGAGGACAAGGGAGGGGAGAGAAAAAGGGGCTTGCTAAAAGCTATTCCAGCAATGAGGTCTCTTCTAACTCTCCAGGCTATGCTTTTGTCATTTCACCACCCTGCTGTTAATTCAACTCCCAAAATTTCTATAAGATAATCTAAATAAACCAAAACTGTTGTATGTTTCTCCCTCCTTTATATAAATATGGAAGAAGTAGACAAGACAAGAAACAAGTTATCCTCAATCTGGAATTCCAGGACTTTCGTGGGTTGGGCCCAACTCATACTCCAAATATCTTCACCACCCCACTCCACAAAACCCTTCCTTCCAACCCCACATTCTGCCCACTGCCCTTCCTACACATAACAGAATTCAAATGTGTGCACACACATGCGCGCGCGCACACACACACACAACCACTCTATTCCTGTCAAAAATCCACTTTGCTTTACAACCTGAGTCTGGAGTCTTAACAGCTGGTTCAAATCTCAGGTCTACCAGTTATTTAACCTAATTCCCAATTTTCTCATCTGTAAAATGAGGATAAAAAATTCTCCTTCATAACGTTGTTGTATGGTTGAAAATATTTATCAGACACCTATTACAACGCCTAGGTATGTCAGGTACCCATTACAATACCTGGAACATAGTAAGTGCTCAATAAAAGACATCAATTCCCACTATATTTACTTATACCATTCTCCATACCACACAGCTGTCTAAAATAGTCTCTAACTTTTCCTCAGTCCAATTCTCGCCTCACATCAATGATCCCAAGGTCAGAGCTTCCTCTGTAATTGAGGCAGGTGGCCTGGTACATCTTTAAAACCTATCATGGTGATAGAGTTTGGATATATCTCCATCCAAGTCTTATGTTGAATTGTAATTCTCAATGCTGGAGGTGGGGCCTGGTGAGAGATGTTTGGATCATGCGGGCGGATCCCTCATGGCTTAGTGCTGTCTTTGAGACAGTCAGTGAGTTCTCATGGGGTTCAGTCATTTAAAAGTGTGTGAGACCGCCTCTCACCCTCTCTGTCTCTCCTGCTTTCACCATGTGATGTGCCTGCTCCCCCATTCACCTTCCTCTATGATTATAAGCCTCTCTAGAAGCCAAGCAGATGCCAGCACCATACTTCCTGTAAAGCCTGCAGAACTGTGAGTCAATTAAATCTCTTTTCTTTTATAAACTACCCAGTCTCAGGTATTTCTTTATAGTAATGCAAGAATGGCACTGCTACTCGTATACCAGCAACTGATGTTCATAATGTTGACTGCAGATAATCACAACACACAGGACCAAAAATACAGATATTATGTTTAAAATCAGGTTCCACACATGAAGTTTTACTTTACTAAGGGCAACAGGAGTAAACAGGTTCATTTCACAAATACATAATATATGTCAGCAATTCTCCATTTCTATATCCAATCCCTATTGCTACCACACCATCATCACTTCAACCAAAAAAACAAAAAGGAAAAGGAAAAAATGAAACCAGTAACATGGATAATTTTTCTTTCGTCTCAACAACAAGGAAAAGTTAAGAAGACACAAATTCAGGAGGAAAAAAAGACAAAAATGGCATTAAAAGATAGATTCACAAAGGTTAACACACATTGGATTTACAGTTCATCTGTTCAATGCTCATGGCAAGTAATAGACCTTGAAATCTAAAGTAGATTTCACCTCCTTAAGGCATAGATGTTAAGGATAAAGATCAAATGCTTTACCGAGAATGTATTCTGGAAAGCACTAACTGATTCATAAAAATCTCCTTCTGCTCATATTTCAATTCCAAAGGATAAATGCTAGGTTTTGACTGCATTCCATGATCAAATGGCTCTCCAAAGTAAAGCAGTGCTGAGTCTGACTCTCCTGGGTGACATGGCAACTCTATAGTCTGTATTAAAAGCAGCAATCAGCTCTGCAAAGGCAGAGCCTGTTTGATAAATAGCTTGCCTACGTTATCTTCTGGACTTTCTTAAAACTACCAACAACTGCAGATTGGGCATAAACTTGTCTGGGTTATCTGGTGTTTTTTGTTTTTTGTTTTTTGTTTTTTTTTTTTTTTTGGCTTGTTTTAACTACCATTTGCTGTGACCTACACAAAAGAAAAAAAACGAATGCCACTAAGGGTGTCAGAGTCCATTCCCCCAAACTACTCTAGGTAAGAGAACTCCACAATATAGGCAGAGACAGAAACATTAATAAAACAATTATTGATAAGTTCAGACAATGACTGTCAATTGAAAGAAACAAAAATTAACAGTCCTAATAGTTTACTCTCATAAGAGGGTTAGAAACAGAATTTAAATCGATAAAAAGCAAAAACTTCCCTTTATACCATAGTCACTTGTAAAATATAACTGGGACAAGATCTCAATTATAATGGCAACAAAAAGCAATAATACATATAGGAATAAACTCCAATATGTACGATTTTATTGTTCAAAATGAACAATAAAAGTTTACTGAAAGATATACACATAGAGAGATATTTCTGGAATAGAAAGACCCAACGTAAAGCAATCACTTCTCACTTCACTAAACCACAAATTAATGCGATCAAAATTCCTATTCTGCTGGCTCCCCAGTTCTCCACCCCAAAAAAGAGGTGAGGAAAAGAAGGAAGTCAGGCAAGCTTGGCAAATTGATTCTAAAGTTCATCTGGAGAAATAAACATGTTAACCTTGCCAAGAAATTGTTGAAAAAGAAGAATGAGGATGAACTTGCCCTATCAGATATCAATACACAGTATAAAGCAGAGCCTGGTAAACTCTGTATGAAGGGCCAGATCGTAAGTATTTCCGGATTTCTGGCCCATACAGGCTCTGTTGCAACTACACTGCCATAGTAACTCAAAAGCAGCCATAAACAATACATAAATATGGCTGCTTTCCAATAAAGCTTTATTTATAAAAACCAGGTGGTAGGCTGGATTTGGCCCATGGGTCGTTGTTTGCCAAGACCTGGTATAAAGGTACAGTAATTAAAATGTTATACTATGTGTGCAAGAAGAAAAGTCAGTGACAGAGAGCTGACAAACATATACGTATAAATATGCATACACAACATATAATTAAATGGCATTTCAAATTCAATGGAGAAGAGATAATAATTCAGTAAACAGAGGGGCAACTGGTTAGCATGTAGAACAAATTAAAATTAATTCCACCTCAC